TTGGTCCAGCCTTTCTGCCCTAAGCCCTTAGTTTTCTAATTCTTTAAGCCCTGACCCATAGTGTCAATCTCCTCACTTTGGGACTTTGCCATCACTCACATTTTCTCAAGACTTTAGGAACTATTAATATAAAGAATACTATTCAGCCTTAAAAAAGAAGGAATTTCTGTCACTTGTAACAACATGGATAGAACTGAAGAACATTATGCTATGTGAAATAAGTCAGGCACAGAAAGACAAAATACCACATGTTCTCCCTTACATGTGGAATCTAAATCAATTGAAATCAGAGGCAGAGAGTATAATCACCATTCTACATTACAGAGGCTAGAGGTGGAGGGAATGGGGAGAAGATGATGGGCAGAGGGTACAAAATCTCAGACATGAAGAATTTTTTTTTAACTCTGTTGCACAACTTGGTGAATATAGTTGATAATAGAGTATTGTACATTTTAAAATTGCTAACAGAGTAAATTTCAAATGTTTTCACCACAAAAAATGTTAAGTATTTGAGGTGATGGTTACGTTAACTAGCTTGATTTAATTATTCCACATTGTATTCATAAATCATAACATCACTTTGAACCCCATAAATTTATCCACTTATAAATTGTCAATTTACCAAAAAAAATGGTTAGTTAGTAAACCTTTTGATACTATTTATATAAAAAATGAAGAAACATATTGGGATCCTCCACCTACAAAACTTGAAGCTGTTCCTCCCAACCACCCTTTCTTCTCCAGTGAATATTATCCAAACGGAGGACAGAAGTTGAACAATGACAACCATATGAAAAGCCGACCATCCAAAATTTCTTCCCTGCCATGCTTTTCTGGGTCCTATAACAATCCTATAGATGCTGTTCTGTCTCCTCTTCCAACATTAATTTCTTTTTTAGGGGAGGGGAGAAATTGAATTAAATTTCTTGAATCCCTACTGTGCCAGACATATTACACATATCATTAACCTAAGAGCCACAGCAACGTTGCAGATGAAGAAGGAGAGACACAGAAGATAGGTGACTTATCATTTATGGTCACACAGAACACATGCATGTTCTATATGTAAATTTCTAGGACTCTATTCAAACCCTTGCCCAGTTACCTCCGGAAAATCTCTCCCTATGCTTATCTCTTTTAGTCCCTTTGTTAATCAAAACAAAAATATCATATGTTTGTTCTAGTACTAGTACTAGTGATATTCTTCATACCAAAAGAAAGCTACATGTGGTGAAGGAAAACTATACCTAAGAACTTTCAAACACCTTTCTGACCTTGAAAGTTGGTTAATATTTCTGAAACTATCATTATATCCCCTCTTCCAAATAAATCTGTTTGTCCTGAGGCTCCAACATTCATGATAAATAAAACACTTTCTGATTTAATGCTACTTTGACTACTAGTATTGCAACAGTATTTCTTCCAACATTTTATTCTTCCCTAGGGTCTTTTCGGTCTTCGTAGTGCAGGCTAGCAACCCAAAGCACCATGTACAACTTTGTTTCTATGGAGAAAAATGCTCTGAAAGTTCCAAAGAGCAAATTCACAAATACTTGTGGGACACAATGGTTTTAAGTTGGGGACAGCTAATACTTATGAAATGAGTGTTCAAAACAAAAACAGATTTTTCAACAGAAGCCTACATGAACAGAGGGGGCATGTAGATTCAGCCCTTGCCATTCTCTT